AGACCTGCTTCTGAGTCCTAAGAACTCCAAGGAGCATGATCAGGCCAGTCTGTTCTATGCTTTCATATGTCACTCCACAGAGTCAGCATGTGTGTAAGTTAGCTCAGTTCTGGTACACAATCAGCTCTCTGTAGTAAACGTGGGACCTCCCTGCCTATTGCATTGCCTGAGTAATGGTGGCAAATTACTATTGTCCCGTTATCTGTAGCCCCACAGGAAGATAAACCTACCAGGAGAGTCTCAGGTGCATGTGACTCCAACATACTGTTAAGTATTTTGGAAAGAATACGCAAATAACAGAACAGCTGTGACAGAGCCAAACAGCAAGAAGAGAAACAGCCTTAAAGAACCAGTAGCCTGCAGTAAAAGGAAACCAATGGAGGAAACTGCCCCTTTTGGGAGACAGTGATGCTGACAGGTGAGAGTTTGTGCACCCTCAATGGGGAGAATCTAAGATGGCGGTGCGAAGTCGCTATCGAACAGTGGTGATCTTGGATTTGGCCCAGTACGTTTCCTGTTTGATGACCTGCATTGACAGCCGGTTTGCATTTGTGCCATGGGGCTGAGCTAGAGAAGTAGAAGGCAGAGAATGGAGAATGGGTGTGCTTTTAGGGCTAGATTCTGTTAACCTTTAGCACACGTGACACAGATGCAGACCCATTGGTCCCAAAGGGACTTAGAAAAGTATGAGTCTTGATTATTGAAACTGCCTTCTCTCTAGGTCATGTTTTTCTCTTGGCTTCTTTTGAGTTGATGTCTAACTCCTCTGTAGCTCTTCAAACCCACGCATGGGTTCTGAATACTTTTCTTATGGCCAGTGTGTTTATCCCACCACCAGATGGCACCAGCGGACCTCTGAACCCTTTCACTTCTGGGGAGTCTTATAGCTTTGTTAACCCCCACCTCCTTTACCACCCAGGGGCGAGATGCAGAAGTTTGGTATAACAACTGGAGCCGCAGAGGTGCTCAGAACCCCTCAGTCAGCCATCTTCTCATGTCTGTTGTACCCTCTGTGGCTCTGGCGGGAAAATCTAGCAGATCATGTTCATGTTCTTTAAAAAAAAAATTTAAAACACTTAAACAATCGTTGTTTAAATACAGGCATCATTTTATCGAAAATAAACAGTGTCTGCTTTTGTGTTTCTGTATTGGCTCCTACACATCGGACTCTGGCTTCTACAGGTCATGGCCAGCAGTAGCCATGGCTCCTAACTTTGTCCAGATGTGAGCTCTATAGCAATCTCAACAGAGCCTCTCTCTCAAGTGGTTGTTTCTTTCCATTCTTGGCCAGACCCTTTCAGCTCTCCCCTCTATCTGAGCATACCCATCCACCCGTTGCTGCTTCTCTGCCTGTCTGCATAGCCCTGTCAAGACAGTCTTTGGGAAAGGAGCCGTGCTCTGTTGTGTTCTGAAGGTAAATTAACAAACAGATGCATAAATCTCTTGGTGTTCCAGTACATGTTATCTGGAGACAGGTGGGTCATTTGTGGGTAAGATGGTGTGTTAGGAGGCAGTATGGCTAAGTGGAAAGGATGTGGACTTTGAAGTGACACTAATGGTTGCATAGCTCCTGCTCATTCAGCGTTTCCTTATCGGGTGACATTCCCTGGCAGAGTTTTTGTGAGGAAGACATGAAGGTATAATGGAAAGCTCACAGTGTCAATGCCTGTCATATTTAATAGCTGCTTGTTAAGTAAAAGTTATTTTGACTAGAGAAAGGGAACAAGAGTGATTCTAGTATATGAAAGGCTGGGTTGGATGTGGCTAGGCAAAAATAATACATACTGTGGCTACCAGAAATTTGGGGGTACTGCCAGTGTCACCTTAAGGTACTGGGGATACTGGGGTCTTCTCTTGATGTTCTTAGGCCCATTAGTAAAATAATTTAACAATCAACTCAAATGGAAAATTGAGCACAGTGTGTTTAGCATTCAAAAGAAAACTTCCAGAGCCGGCAAGCTGTGAATCTTAGCAGCTGCCTCGGGGAGAGAAGGAAAAAGTTTGTCCTTTGAGTTAAGCTGGCATGGAGGTGACACACAGGAGACACACGGTGACAGGCAGCCACATGGTAGCATGGGGGTGGTGTTTAGAGAAAGAATAAGGAAGCCTAAAGCTGTAGAAAAAGCATATTTAGGATCTGACCAGCACCCTAAAGAGTCAAGAGAGAAAAAGAGAAGGCTGTATGTTTCTACTTAGAAAGGTGCGCGCCTTTTGGGGCTCTGGACCAGGCCAGGAAGCAGGAAGGGAATTTCATGACTCATCAAAGGGCTCCTTACTCTGCCAGTTTCCTTAGCATGCTTTAAGGTGAGCTCACCTTCCTGGGGGTGACCCTACCTTCCTGAGCGATGGTCCCTTAGCCAGGCCTGGGTTTACTCCTAAGGGCAGAGACAGTGGCGGGTCATCTACAAGTCTGCAAGTCCTGGGTACACATCTCAAGCATTTTATATATTTAATAACACGTTGAAGCAATCTCATTTTGTGTATATAGGATTAGATATTATTAAAATAAACTTGTAAAATGTAGCCACCAGGACATGTAATGAAGCTACTCACCTACCCACCCAACAGCTCTGGGCTAAATAATAGTGATCGCAGAGCTGAAAGAATTCAGCTGTGCTTTGGGGACTTCTGTGAAAGTTTCTGAGGTCTCTTGATTTGTTCATTGCATATATATTGGATTGGCGTGTGTGCTTGCACATGCATGTGTGACTAACCCTGCATGTGTGTGCGTCAGCAGACAGCTTGACGCCTGTCCCTTCATCTTGTTGAGGTACAGTCTCTTGTCACTGCAGGCCTGCGGGGCAAGTGCTATGACTTGCTGAGCCTCGCATGGGCCCCACCAGTCATTATTGCTAGTGCTAGTTTAAGTAATAATTTCAAAGTAAGTAAAGGAAATGCCAAAGATTGTCCACAATTCTTCAAATTCCAAAGCCCTCAGTTGAGAAATAAAAAATCAAAATGGTGCAGCAGGTCAGCCACAAGCAGTGGGGAGACCCTGTAGTTTAAAAATGGGACCTTCACAGGATGCCTAAAGGGCTCTTCCTCCTCCGTGGTTACCTGGTGATGATAGATGCCAGCTAGCAGTTAACTGACTGTGGGACTTTCACTCCATGCAAATTGTTCAAACAACTTCAAAAAATAACCAAAGGTAAAGGACACAAGAATCATATTAATACTTTATATTAGATGAAGTCATCTGTCTAAATTTTCATTAAAAAATTTAAGATACTGAGTATAAGGCATTAACTGGTCTTTAAAATTTAAAAGTAAATAATAACCCTCATCAGACCAGTGTGGGTTAGAGCTATATCATAAGTGCTGTTATTTGCAGTATTTCTTAATCTTTTCTGGTGGATTGAAAAATAAGGTTTTTCATTTGTATCTTGATTTTATACAGACTCTTTTTTATATCAACATGTGGGGAAGAGAATTTGGTATTTTTGGCAGCTGAGGCCCAGACATTTTGAGACGCTTGAAGGCAGTTTGCAGTGTTCCTAACTTAGTTCCAGAGTGCAGTGAGATAGTCCTCATTCCAAGTGGTTTAGGGTTCATTGCCTCTAGTCTGCTGTCTGGGAAGGGACCCTTGCATTGTAAGTACCACTTTGTACAGAACGAACGGCTACTGGTAAAATCCATGAGGAATCGGGTTGTTATTGTGTGCCAGTGACCCTGGCACCTGAGGCGCTGGGACAGATGGATCCATGAGTTTGATACCAGTTTGGGCTGCAGAATGGGACCTGTGTAATCAACCAGAACCAAAGCCAAGCAAACAAATAAAAACCCAGATACGTCTTCGTTTCAGAGATGTTAAAACAAGGCTGTACCTGAGAACTGATGAAACACAGCATGAAGGTTTCAAAGCTTTGAACTTGTTTGGGAGGCAGGGGCTTGTTCTACTGTTGTCACATAGGTTAGTGTTGGACTTGGGTCCTTTTAGATTGTGTCGTGTTCAGGGAATGTGTTTTGGTACCTTGAATGGTTCTTTTCATTCAGTCTATTTAAAAAAAAAAAAAAACAGGTGAAAACCAAGTGGTAAGCTGTCTCACCTTGAAGTCCCATGGTTGGGGCAGCAAGCTGGTTTCCAGCAAGTCTCTTTGCTCCTTCTCCCACCAGATGCACTCCTGTCTCTGTTGCCTTCAGCTAGCCTCTACCAGGTCTGTTCTGCAGAAAGGCCTTGCCGGTTATTTATAGATTCTGCATTCAGAGTGAAGTGTTAAATTGCCTGAGGGTATTTGCCTTGGAAGCTTTCTCTCTAACTATCAGCTAAAAATCTTTATCTGTTTAAAGAGGCCTCTACCCTCCTTATGGACCAGGTTTTTGTGGGACTGGTTAGGGAAGAGGGACTTTGAGGTAGCTCCTCCTCTGCGGGCACAGGGGAGGCGGGGCCAGATGCTGAGTGTGTCATTTCCTTTCCCACTGCTCTCCTGCCTTTGTGTTCAGTCTCTAGGAAAGTAGGCGTCCATCCACCACTGGCTTTGTGACTGAGAGGAAAACAAACTCAACTCATAGTCAGTACATTTCTGACTAATGCCACTGAATTTTTACCAGCTACAGCTCCTTCTGACAGGTTCTACTGAATTTTAAGGAAACTCTGCACTGAACAGAATGCTTTTGTAATTACCTGTTTTCCAAATCTCAGCCTGATTCTCACCCTATCTCTTCCAAGTTTTTTTTCAGATGTGCCTACACAGAAACTTGCCAGGGAGGTTATCTGAGGGAATGGAGGATGAGAGCAGAACTCTGTCCTTGTGTTTGCGGCCCTTTGATCAGTTGCAAATAATATTAATATTGTACACACTTTCGTTGTTATATTAGCTTTGAAATTCGTGGTAAATTTTGTTCACTGGGTTTCCTACACTTAAACTCAACACAAGGCAATTAAAATGTAGTTCTGAATTCTGTACAGGAATGTGTTCTTTGATAGTATCTTAAATATGTTCAGATTGTATCCTCTAAATATCTTTATGTGTCTGATTAACTTTGACTTTTGGTCTTTGCAGCTTGGAGTCTGGTTTTCTCTAGGCTGTGCCTACTTGGCCTTGGAAGATTACATGGGCTCAGCGAAGGCGTTTCAGCGGTGCGTGACCCTAGAGCCTGATGTGAGTTTGGCCTTCTTCCTTGTTTCTTGTGTTCTTTTTTGTTATCTGAATATGCTGCAGAGCTCGGAGTAGCAGCTGCTTTTGTGGTAGAAGTATATATTTGATGGAAGGGCACACTCAGGGGATATGGTTTATCAGTCAAAATACTTTCTGGGGAATCATATCATAGTTAAAACTTGATTGGCCTGACTAGTACGGCACAGTGTCCTGTGTCTTTTATCGTTTATGAACATGCTTCCTATGTTAATTACATCACTAGAAGGCTATTGTTTTGATGTGGCGTCTCTCCCTTTCTGTTCAACAACTTTGTGGAAATGATAGCTCACATATAATGTTGCTATTTAAAATAATAATTAAGGATTTTAATTTTTTTTCAGTATATTTAGAGTTACAAAGTTAGTACATTTTAAAGCTCCTCCCCCCAAAGGAAGCCTGGCTGCGATCAGGACTCACTCCTCACCTTCTCTTCTCCAGCACTAGACAGTCACTGTCCCTGTAGATTTTCAGTCCCAGTGTTTCAGAGAAGCGGACTTAGTGGCTGGCTTCTTCCACTTACTCAGTGTTTTACAGCTGTCGTGTTGTGTTCTGCATCGGTGCTCCATTAACTTTTCCCTGACAGGTAATGTTCATTGTTGGGCAGAGCACAGTATCCACTTATCTGTCGATGGCATTTGGATCTTTTCTGCTTTGATGCCCTCCTGAATCCTTCTGCCATTAGCATTTGGTTACCAGTTTCTGGTGGACTCGTGCTTTCCTAGAGGATAAAGTGGGAGAGCTGCTGCATCTGATAGACTTTTCCAGACAGCCTTTTTATATTCCAAGTTTCTCAAATACTTGCCAACACCTGCTATTTTCTCCTTTTGTTGTAGCTGTCCTAGCTCGTGACTTCAATTTGTGTTTCTTTGATGGCTGGCTAATTATGTTAAATATTCTTGCATTTGCTTATTGACTGATTGATTGTCTTCTATGGGAAATGTATATTCACATCCTGTGTCCACTTAAAAATTTGTTTTTGATTGTTGAGGTGTAAGAATTCTTTATGTATTCTAATTATAAGGCCCTTATGAATTGTAGGTAACACCATCCTATTCTTTGTGTTTTTACTTTTTAAAAAAGATTTACTTATCTTATGTATACAAATACTTTGCCTGTATGCATGTATGTGTGCCATGTGTATACCTGGTGCTTGCATGTAGAAGAGATCAGAAGAGTGCATCAGATCCCCTGGACTGAGGTTATAGGTGGTGTGAGTCACTGTGTGGGTGCTAGGAATCAAACCTAAGTTCACTACAAGAACAATAAGTGCTCTTAACTGTAGGGCTGTCCCGCCAGCCCCTTTCACTTTTTTTTTTTTTTTTTTTGGTTTTTCGAGACAGGGTTTCTCTGTAGCTTTGGAGCCTGTCCTGGAACTAGCTCTTGTAGACCAGGCTGGCCTTGAACTCACAGAGATCCGCCTGCCTCTGCCTCCCCAGTGCTGGGATTACAGGCGTGCACCACCACCACCCGGCCCCTTTCACTTTCTTAATGATGCCATTTAAAGCAAAAAATTATAAATATTTAAAATTTTTAGTTTTATGTGTATGGGTATTTTGCCTGCACATACGTGTGGGCATCACATGCAAGCCTAGTGCCTATGGAGGTCAGAGGAGGGTCCCAGATTCCCCTGCTTCCACCATGTGGGTCCAGGAATGGAGAGGTAGTCAGACATGATGTCAGTGCCTTTACCTGCTGAGGTTCTCTCTGGCCCTTATTGCTATTGTGTGTTTTGTGTGTGTATGGGCATGGTGCATGTGTGGCATGTGTGAAGATCAGAGGACAATCTCTGGAGTTGCTTCTCTCTTTCCATGAGTTCTGGGCATCCAGTTCAGAACCTCAGGCCTATATGCAGCAAGCACTTTTATCCACAGAACCACCTTATTGGCTCAAAAGCTTCAAACGTTTTGTGTTTGTTTAGTCTGGAGTTTTGGAGACCAGTTCTTGTTATTGTGTGTGCTAACCTGGATCTTACTGTGCAGCTCAAGATGGCTGACCTTGAATTCAAGATCCTGTCTAGTCCAGTGATGACAACTAACTCATCTGTTCTTTTCCCTCTGTTTCTAGTTCATTGCCAGAGCAAGTTCCGATGACCAAAACCCCCCATCCTTTATTTTTTTTTCTTTCATTATTGGAGCTTGAATTCAGAGTTTCGTACATGTTAGGCAAGTGCTCTACCACTGAGCTACGTTTCCAGTGCTGTCCTTTCCTTTTCTTCTAAGAGCTTGTGTCATTTCAGCTCCAGACTTTTTAAGAAGTTTTGTGTATGGAGTAAGGAAGGGTTCCAGTTTCTTTCTTTTACCTGTGGATGTCCAGTAATACCAGTCACTTGTTTAAAAGACTATTTTGCCCCCACTGAATATTCTTGTCATTCTGGTCAAAAATCAGTTGACCGTAAATACGGGTTCAATTATAGACTGCCAGTTAGATTTCATCAGCTATCGCGTCTGCGTGCTAACCCACTCACAGAGGCTCAAGGTGAGGTTTAAGAATGCTGAGTGCGAGCACTGAAACTTGGTTCTTTGCCGTGATTGTTGTGGCTATTTAGGGTTCCTTAAATTTTCATGTCAAATTTTAACATCAACTTCTGCGGACGCTAAATAAATGAGTAAATAAATGAAACGTATGGGCGGTATCTGAGGTGTTGATATGGGTTTCATTTGATCTGCACTGTGGTATTACCACCGCGGGTGTGGAAAACCTAAAACCTGCTTTCTTTCCTCCTTTTTCTAAGACTGACCACCAACCAACTTCCCTCCCTCCCTCCCTCCCTGTGTGTTGGGGGAGAATGTACATGGTATGCATGCATATGGAGGCCAGAGGAGGCCTGTGGAGTTGATTTTCTTCTACCTTGTAGGTCCCGGTGATCAAACTCAAGTTGTTAGGCTTGGCACCGAGCACCTTGACCCACTGAAGCATCCTGCTAGCCCCCTGTTGAGCCCTATACATTGTATGTGGTTGTTAAGTCTCTGCGGTTCCTTATTTTCCTTCTGGAAGACTGAGCTTTATTTTCGCATTCAGTTAATTTACTTATGGGTTATCTTGAATTAAGCTTTGTTAGAATAAATTTGGGACTGTTGTTTTCTAAGTTATAATCGTCCTGTTAGGAGATCAGCTTTCTTGGACTGAGTTGTCATGTTAGACAGTAAGAACTCTTCCTCCTGATTGGTCAGAACTTTAAACTCCTGGTACTGTGTGACCTCTAGCATGAAGCATTTGGGCATTTGTTTTTGTTTTTGTTGTTGTTTTGTTTTGTTTTTGTCGTGCAACAGTAAGTCTAGTGGTGTAGTAAAGCTTATTGCCCATCCTAGGACTCAGGATGCTTACTGAACTTTCTAGAACTTGATCTTTTACCTCTCTTCCATGGCGATTTGCTGCAGAACCCATTTGCCTTCTCAGCCCTGTAGTCTGGTCCCCTTCCTTCATTTCATCGGGCTGTGCTGTGACCAGTGTCTGCCTGTCTGTGTGGGGGCCAGGCAGCAGCTGGACTGCCTGCTGAGACCTCTCCCCCCCACCCCAGTGCTTATTTTGTTTACTCTGTAGAGTTTTATGGTGAGAAGGCTAGCCAGGTACTAGCTTTGCTACATCTGGACAGGGCGGTCAGTACCATTTAACTTTAAAATCCTATGTGTGGCAGTTAAAAGCTATATTTTATTAAAAAATTAGAAAAAAGTAGAATTCATAACATTCTTATTAGAATCAATATTTATGTAAGTCTTGATTTTACTTGAATAATAATAAATATAGACATATTAGTTAAATTATATTGTAAATTTTCTAACTATTTTATATGTCAAAATTTGAAAATAAAAATTTAACTGAACTGAATCACTGCTATGATACCTATGCCATTGGCTGATTGGGGTTTTTAAATTTCTTTTGTACGCTATAAAAATAAAGCTTAACTTTATGCCATTTTTTTCTTTCAAATACATTACTGAAAATTGTGGTTTTTGTTTCTTAGGAGTACATATCAGACTAGGAAAATGGGTTGTATTTTGGTTTTAGCAAGTGTCTTACCTAAGAACAGTCTCTAACTGGATCATTCATTGTTTCAGAACGCTGAGGCTTGGAACAATTTATCCACTTCTTATATTCGATTAAAACAAAAGTAAGTACACAACTCCCATATGAAGAACTTGGTTTCCCCCTAAAATTAATAAGATTTCCTCCAACTGAATATTTAAAATCTGTGTCTAGCTCTTTGTTTCTTTTTTCCTGTGCTTACATGTAAGTTACAATAACTTAGTGAACCCTTGAATTCTAATTGTATAGTTATTTCTTGAAAACATTTAATGTATAATAAGTATGCATTATGCATAATAAAGAAATATTTTTTAAAATTGTTCTTTGCCACCAATTTTTCAGCCTAAATTTCAGCCAAACAGACCTATAGTTGTTCAACTCAGTTGGTAGTTTTCTTATTAATTGCTTGTCTTAGACATTTTTATAAAATATAAACATGACCCTATTCTTCTGGAGATTTAAGAAATAAATCAGTCTGCGGTATTATTTTAAAAGCTGATGAGTAGCCCGGGCGGTGGTGGCGCACGCCTTTAATCCCAACACTCAGGAGGCAGAGGCAGGCAGATCTCTGTGAGTTCGAGACCAGCCTGGTCTACAAGAGCTAGTTCCAGGACAGGCTCCAAAACCACAGAGAAACCCTGTCTCGAAAAACCAAATAAATAAATAAATAAAAATAAAAAAAGCTGATTAGTGACACAAGCCGTACGTGGTGAGCATCAAGCGTGAGTGCGAGGGAGCTGATGGAGTAGGTACCCTGCTCACCCGCTGCAGTCGGTCAGGAGCGTACGTAGTCCGGGGAGGACTATACTGTTGGGAATAGCCTGAGATTTTGGTGGGAAACCAACAGAGAGAAACTTTGGGGACTATGTATCAGGAGGCAATGTTTGAGACAGAGTAGAGAGGGACCTGGAAACTGGGAGAACTGAGGTTACTAGAGTGGATAAAGAAAGGGCAGATGCTCCTGACACTCTAGATAAATCTACAAAACAAAACCATATAACCTGGTGGGGGTGGGAGGGGTCTATGCACACATAGGGCAGTCTACAAAATTACCCAACAGGATATAAACTTTTTTTTGACCTCATGTCTGTCCTGCCCACTGCTGTGCTTCCCTTTCTCTGTCTTGCAGGATGCAGGTTACAGCTGCACTGGGTAGGTCACTCTAGACTATAGTCTGGTACTTGAGTCAGCCTGTTCTTGGGCCAGTATTGAGATTGATGCCTTGTTTTAATGTCCTTATCAGCTATGAATAAATTAGGGAAGACATATATCCATAGAGTGCTCAGTGCCCCTCATATCGTTATTGAACTATACAGGGGAACTTGGTGATTATATGCTATTTGGGCATCTGATTCCCAAGTGATGTATTGATACAGGCGACTGAAGAGTGCCATTCCCGTCCACGTCATATGCACGTAGCTGCGATTTGTCTTAATTGGAAAGAATTCACGTTCCTTTCTTTAAAATCTGACCTCCCACAGAGTCAAAGCTTTTAGAACTTTACAAGAAGCTCTCAAATGTAACTATGAACACTGGCAAATCTGGGAAAACTATATTCTCACTAGCACAGACGTTGGGGAGTTTGCAGAAGCCATTAAAGCTTACCACCGGCTCCTGGACCTACGAGACAAATACAAAGATGTTCAGGTAGGAGGTTCACATTTTGTTATTTCAGCTTGGTTTTACTGTTTTTCTATTCTGTGATATACGTTGTTTTCTTTAATATTAAACACATGTAATGTATGTAAACCGCATTTCTGTTCTTCAGTCATCCATTCTGGTTACTTAGAGTTCTTGGCATGTCGATGTTAAGTGTATTTGTGCAGTCACACACAGTATTGCTGCAGCTCATGTATGGAAGTCTGACTCATGGCTTACACACATGCTGTCAGTGTGCAGAGCCAAAATAGAAGCTCCTTGCATTACTTATTTTTTGGGTAACTCTGCTTTCTGTGGTTTGTAATAGTGGGAGCAAATTCTGTATACATTCATGCAGCACTTGCTGCGTGCATCCAAGGCTTGGACAACATAGGGAGAATGGGTGGTATTTTGTTTACAACACTGAAGATATAGTCTTTCTGGTTAGATGAAGTTATTCTTTTTTTTTTGGACAACTGGTAGTAATACGCAGTTTATGGTCTTTTCTTGTCTCAGATTTAATAAAGGGATAAATTACAATATAGGAAAATATACCCTTATTTTAATTTCAAATGTGGCATAATTTAAAGAAAAGCTGGCTCAACTAATTAAAAATACTTTTAAACAGTCAAGTTTCCTGAGCAACCCTGTTTTAGATAGATGGGCAAAGGCATTATAGCCAGTTTAGATGAAGTTATTCTTAAAGAGAGTATTGAGATTTGCAGCCACTATGTTTTCTGCATAGTAGCATGAAATAAGCAAGATTTTTTGGGTTGAATTATAATATAAGGCAGTGTACAAAGAGACAATACTCAGGAGTTTATGGGTTCTGGTGTCAGAGGACTAGAAACAGCACTTTATTCTTTTGCTCTTGTAATAGTCAACATATGCTATTTAAAAAGATGAAATTCAATTTATAAAAACCATACAACACGAGCACAGAAGTAACATCTGATATATGATAATACCTTGCAAATCTCATGGCATAAATACCCCAGTTCTAAACACAGCTTATCACAATCCTATCTTAACTCCCCTGTGTTTGGCTCATGTACATGTTTTGGGAGCATACATATGTAATTGGCCAAGGTACTTTAAGGCTTTGGTTCCATGTAATTCACTGAGAAAATCTATAACTTCAAGTAGAACTATGCACACGGAGGAGAGATTCTAACTTTCAGTCGGTCTTTCTCCTCTTTCCTTCACTGTCTTTCATTGTGAGTATTGTCCACTGTGGGAAGAAGGGATTGCATTTTAGAGTCCAGACATTAGTTTAAGTGCAAGCTAGGTTGAGAGTGTGGCTCAGTAGTGGAGCACTGCCTAGTTCTGTCTGCTGCACACTTGGCCTCTTGGGGCAGGACGCAGATGATGCTCAGGACAGATCTCAGTATGTCACAGCCCACTCTTCTGTACTTAGATTTTGTGTATTTCAACTGGTTTTAAGGTCTTTCTTGACTAAGAAAGATTTTAGAAACTTGTTTTTAAAACCTCAGGGCAAGTGTAAATCACTTGAATTGGCATTGTTTTCCATTTTACACTTGTGATTAATTTTCTTACACATGTGTAAGATACGAGCCATGGCAATGTTCATTTGATGTCGCTGAACGCTGAGGTTCTCTGTGCTTCCCTGTCCCTGTCACAGTTTGAGTAGGAGCTGTGTGTCTCCCAGAGGCCTATGTTTTCAACACTGTGTACAGCTGGCAACACTATCTTGAAGGAGGTGAAGACAGGCTGGTGGGAATGGGTTCTGAAGGCTAGGTCTTGAAAGGTTACATCAGCCCCTGGTTCCAGTCTGCTCTCTCTACCTTCTGGTCAGTGCCATGTGAAGTGACTTGGGCACACATTCGTTCCTCCATGAGTGCCATGCCTCCCCACTGTCCTTTGATAAACTGCAGTCCTTTGCAATGTGAACCTGCGTGGATCTTACTGCCTTAAGCCGTTTTTCTCCAGCACTTGGTCATAGTGACCATAAAGGCAGCTGATACAGTCAGGGCACAAAGGGACCTTGTTGGGTTCATGTATCTGTGAAGACAGTTTATTTCTTGAGGCAGGGTCTTTCGCTGAACCTGGAACTTACGGATGTGACTTAGACCAACTGGTTAATGCCCTTGGGATCCTCTTTCTTTCTGCCTATAGAGCCCTGGATTTGCAGACGTGTGCTATTGTGTCTGGATTTTCAGGCGTGTGTGCTATTGTGTCTGGATTTTCAGGCGTGTGTGCTGTTGTGTCTGGATTTGCAGACGTGTGCTGTTGTGTCTGGATTTGCAGACGTGTGCTGTTGTGTCTGGATTTGCAGACGTATGCTGTTGTGTCTGGAATTGCAGGTGTGTGCTGTTATGTCTGGATTTGCAGGTGTGTGCTGTTATGTCTGGATTTGCAGGTGTGTGCTGTTATGTCTGGATTTGCAGGTGTGTGCTGTTGTGTCTGGATTTGCGGACGTGTGCTGTTGTGTCTGGAGATTGGACTCGTGTCCTCAAGCACTTATTTGATGAGCTGTCTCCCCAGGCCCTCAGAAAAGTGAGATGAAATTGACAGGATATTAGGTGGCAGCAGGGGTGGGAGGTGAAGGTTGGGGAGGACACGGTAGAAGATCTTGGTGTGGAGTTCTCTGGGGCTAAATTGGATAGACTTATGTGCCAGTGCATAAGGAAATGAGACACTCCTCTACTTCCTGTTAAGACTTACGTGGACAGTCTCCAGTGGCATTCTGCTTGTCAGTCACTCTGGCCTCTTGGCCAAGCCATCTCCTCCTTAATGCCCCTAAGTGACCGTGGTAAGTCAGTTTGAGACCACTTTTCTGCTGTTGTTTGCCTCGCGTTTGTCTTTCATTCACTTTCTAGTATGAATGGGTTGCTCTAAGTCAGTCCCTTAGCCCTCGATAATCTGCGTATAACCAAGGACTAGTACCATTGGCTCACTGGCTTTGAGGATCCAGAAACAGTCCCGATTATTCTTTCATGCTTGGCACCAAGGGGCTAGTGCTATAAAGAGAATCTAAGTGGTTCAATCTAGAGCCTTCTCCTGTAAGAGAGTAGGCACAAGACTTGTGTGGTCCATGGTGTGTAAGCACAAAAGGGGAGGGGGTGTCTTTTTTTTTTCCTGCCATTCTTCTCTACATTCTAAGGAACACAGAGGACGAGTCAGATGAGACATGGTAAAGTGATAACTATATTTACCAAGAACTTGCTGTGTTGGATCCTATTCTGGTCCTTAGCATGTATTAGCTCATTTAATTCTCAGTGCAGCTGTGAGGGGTAATTTGTGCTAACAGAGGCTTTATCTGACCTGGAATGTATATGTATGTATGTCTCCATTCCCTGTCACTTTCCGTATCTTAAAGGAACTGATGGCTCAAATAAAAAGCCATCTAAAGATTATTTTGAAAAGGAATGTCTTTTTTAAAGAGTTATGAAGTCACTCACCAAGGTAATGCTGATTTTCATTGACTATGGTATATCAATTATGGTAAAACTGAGAGACAAGTATTTCAGAAAAAGGCAAGAAGATGTGGAACAATTGTTTTGAAGGAAACAGGATCTGTCTGGATGATTCCTGTCTCTTGCAAGTGTAGCATCTGAGTGGGATTGGTGAATGTTTGAATTTCCTTTTCTAACTGGGCACCAGCTCTGGAGCCTCCCTCTGAGGATGAAGCGTTGTTACGATGCTGCTGCCATGTTTGTCTGTGGGCGGATGAGCAAGAGGAAAGGGAGCAGTGCTGCTGCGTTCCAACAGAAACGCTCTGAGAGTAATTACTCGATTCTAAAGATAAAACTGAGTTGTTTACTTGGCTAACAAAAGCATAAATAAAAGTAACAGTAAAAGGACCCAAGAAACACATTTAAGGGACATATTTAAGCATTTTTCAGAAAAAGAAAAAAATCTTAAGCATAACTTTCCCAGCACAAACTGCCTGCCATGCTTCACCTCCCGTCCTGGGCTGCTGAGGACGGGGCCAGGGCTGGGCACCTGCCAGGCGAGCGCTCGCTCCAGCCTTAGCTGTCGTCCTAACTGAACTTTTCAAACTGGCTTTAGCAGTCATTTTAGCTCCTCACTCCTCCAGTGATATACGCTCTTTTCTTTTTCTGTTTTCCTTTTTTTTTTTTTTTTTGGAGGTCGAAGTGGGGGCAGGGTCTCTCCATACCCTGGCTGTTCTGGAACTTGCTGTGTAGACAAGGGCCAGCCTTGAACTGCCTACCTCTGCTTACTCAGTGCTGGGATTAGAGGCATGTACCTCTGCTCAGGTTCATATAAAACTGTTTTCAACCACAGTACATCGTGCTGGTTTCCATTTACAATTTTATAATCCTGTGTGTGTCTTAGCACATTGTCTTAGGGGAACTTTTGTGAAAATTTGCTTATTTGTGAGATAAAATTATTAGAATTTATTTACATTCATGGCCAGTTAACATTTTCTATTTTATTTTCCCCTCATTATTCCATTTTCTCAAATCAGAGTGTTGATACACACTTACTTTATCTAAGCATGAACATTTATTTTAATGTATATGAGAGTTTTGCCTACGTGTATGTATACCACATGCATGCAGTGCCCATGGAAGCCAGAAGAGGACATTGGATCCCCTGGGACTGGGGTTACAGACAGTTGTAAGCTGCCGAGTGGGTGCTGGGAATTGAACCTAGGATCTCTGGAAGAGCAACCAGTGCTCTTAACCACTGAGCCATCTTTCCAGAACCAAAGCATGAATATTTAAATGATTTTGTAATTGGTTTCATTAGAAGTTGAGTGTATTTTGCAGGAGCCAAGGGTGACGTTGGATTCTCTAGACTGTCCTCCTGCAGTCCTGCTGTGTGCATGAGATCTAGCATTGTTCTGTGAAATGTCTGTGAAGCACGTTGGGCAGCATCACGGGTTCTAACGGTGTCATGTTAGAGCTGTTAGCCTGATGTGCACATTTGGACTTACTGAGGAGATAGTACTGAGAATGTCATTTCTAGGTAACCAGTGACTTACTTAGGTCAGCTGACCTTCATTAGCACCATAGAGAACC